AATTTGTTCCACGCAGTCAATGCAAGAACTTTGCTGATGTTCAAATCTTTTGGGGAATTTATAATGTGAGATTCAAGATATTTTAAAGTTCGCAACTCTTTTGAAGAATGTATTATTGAGTGACTCGCATGGTTCAGGGGAGGTTGTGATTCTATCCGATCGTGTAGCCTTTTAAGTGCATTTAAGAGTTTAAATGTGTGGAGAATTAAACATTTCAAATATAACACATTCGTCATTATTTTATCATCATCATCATCATCATCATCATCATCATTCTTTGACCTCTCTATCGTTGGTCGAAACACCATTGACAATCCCTTTCCACACAGTTTGGTCCTGTATTGCTGCACAAATGTCCCGAGTTATGGGAAAATCAGTCTTCGTGAGAAGATATTTCCAGATGGATGCCATAGGAGTAAGGAAAGGGACGATTTTTCTGCCCGCTCGGTGACATTGGCCGGCAAACTGTAATCGTTTTTTGTTTGAGCTTAAGACATGTTGGTCACTGTTCTCCGTAAATTGTGTTAATTTTGCATGGGATCTCCAAATGATGTTCTAGATTTTTCTAAGTAGACTTGCATATTTTCCATCAATTCATCTTTCAAAACGACCAGATAATGTCCAAGTTTCTGATCCACACAGTAGGACAGGTTCAGTCAATATTCAAAAGTTTTAGACTTTTAAGGAGTGGAAGGTTCGAGTGCCAAATCTTGTGAATTTGTTACACGCATCCCATACAAGAGCTTTGCGGACGTTGAAGTCTTTTTGGGAATTTATAATGTGAGATCCAAGATATTTGAAGTCCACAACTCTTTTGCTGAATGTATTATTAAGTGACTCAGAGGGTTCAGGGGAGGTTGTGATATATTCTGTCTTACTCAAGTTGCAACAGAGAACTACCTGGTTTGCTGCTTATTCGAATGATTGCAATAAGGATTCTGCAGGCTTGATATGTTAAGAAATTAATGCAAGATCGTCGGCAAAGTCAAGGTCAGGCAGTTATTGCGGGGAGTACAGACTACTCTGTTAAGGTTTCAAAAGGAGTCCTTTTTCCTCCATGTTGTCGAGAGACGTACGCAGAACATAGTTTAGGACAACTATAAACAGAAAAATAGCAAGTGTAGAAATCCTGCTTTAACTTCAAAGCAATCAGACTCGACATCAGGCGATACATGTTACGGTTTTTTGGGTATATACCGTATATAACTAGTGAGCGAGTCAAAATGACTTATTTCCCTTTATAGTGGACCAATAGAAGGTTGACCAATCAGAAGCCGCACAACACTGTATCCGTCGTGTATAAAGGCGGCCATCTTTGTTTCTCCTACCGGAATGACCAGAGGCAACTTGTCCGGCGAACATGACAGACGGAAGAACTACGCTCTGCTACTTTGCTGCGATATCCACTGCGAACCTGCACTACGCTTTCCTACTGTCTCCGAAATATTTACTGCCAACCTCTGGATTCTATACTCGAAGACGACCGTCATGAAAATGTCTAAAAATACAATGGTGGTAGTAGCGTTTCTATACAGAGCTCTAATTGCCTCAACAAATCTGGCGGATGTTCCATAGAGTTGGAGTCTTATTAAAATGAGATCTCTGCTTATGGAACCAATCGCCTTGCGAAAGTCAAGAAACGGGCTTTTTGTTGAATTTTTTTTATTTCTTTCAGTATGAGGTGAATGGAGAGGAATGGAGGTGAACTGTTAGCATAACAACATATAGTAAACAACTAGGCATTTCAATTGTAAAATTATGAGACCTTGCTGCCAAATTAGTACTGTGCTTAAATTCATTAAAGTCTTGGTATCTTATCGGAAAGTTCGTCATAATAATAACTATAAAATTATTTATAGAAAGTCACAGGGAAGTTACGTTATGTCGATGGGATAAAGAGCTGAAGCCGAGATATCAGATCAAGGCCAATAACATTGCAGATTCTTCTTTGAATTTTATCAAAATCTTTAAATATACAGCAGAAGAACCAGGCCATACATGACAGCTTTATTCAAAGTATAGATGAATTATAGTCTTATAAATTTGTACGATATTTGTGAATGCGAAAAAAACTCTATGGAACGACACACGGAAATAACTTTCCTAGCACTAATTTAGTTGTTTCTCATGAAATTGTCATTAGAAACAAATACAAGAGTGCTAAAGTGATTTGGAAATATGTTCTCTTATTTGCCTTGTTCCATTCAGACGTGATTCATCACAAGTTTTGACAACTTCCCCATATGAATCAATATAACATAGGAGGCTGTCATATTTTTTGTATTAGACAGATACCCCTATCGTATATAAAACAAAGATAGAAACTACATTCGCTTCCAGGGTAAGACGATAAACTACGTCCAACGGCAACCCCTCTGATCACGAGGCTTTGATGAGCGTGGAGCCACCTCTTAATTGCTGGTGTTCCCAGGGCCACACATAAAAGTGTAAAAATATGTTTTAATACAAGAAATACTTTGTAAAAAATTATTACCAGAAA